GATATACAATTGCTGGACAGGAGGAAACGAACAATATCAGGTTACCAGAACCGACAATTTGGATATACCCAAACCACAAAAAGTTCCTTTGTCATACCCTGCCTCCTGCACAATTACACGCATACATAACACAAATGGAAGCACGTCTGTAATTATCTTTGATAGGATATTACCTTATGAAAAATAAAACATTCGATTCTTACCAAGTTACAATACATACAAATACTGTGCATGCAGATTTCGGTACATAAATGCAACCAGGATTGACCCTTTTCATTGGATCTTGATTGCATTAAATTTAACGAAAGATAAAAATGTTGTAGCTTTAAACTTGGAAGTCATTTTAATGAGTGATGTATCGGGAAAAGAGAAAAATATACTTCCTGAGGCAGTGGTGCAACAGATAATGTCGTTATGTTCCATCTACCGTCTCATTTATATTGGATATTGTAGTTCCGGTCAGTGTTGTATTAATACGCTAAGAATTGTGTCTCGTGATGCATGGTAATTAAAGTCCCATCAACGACACAGCTTTCAAAGAGGCTATATAGTGACAATGCCATGCAAATGTAAATATACTTATATGAATCTCTATTGTCATAGGTAGACCGAAAGTGTTCCTAATGCAAAGTTGCAAGAAAAAGGAACTACAGAATGACATACGCAGTGACCATATACATGACAAGTGCCCCATCTTAGATGATTCTGATGTCTTAGTGATATGGGCAACGACACCAGGTAAGTGTATTTAATGTTCCTAAACTATCTTTAGCAATAAAAGTTCTGGGGCTTGGTTCCGAAATACTACAAACATACCCGTAAAAGGACTCAATAGGCGAGGCAAGAACCCCGCACTTATCTTGTTGCGATCAAAGGCTTGAGTACCTCAATACAAATCGTGAGTGCATTTGTATATTCACGCCCGGCTTTTTAAGAAATTATCAACGAATGTGCACATATTATGATGGATGAAGTAACGGGATGAGAACATGTTTGGGGAAAAATCATTAACAAAGGTCGCTTGCAGCCTGATTTGATTTATTTCCATCGTTTGCGAATCCCGAACTATGATTCCACAATAATATACAATCATATGTTGATTACATCTATTCTACGAAGTAAAATATAATACAATTCTTTTTCGTCTTTTTCACGTCTACCTCAGTGTGAACACGCCTATGATGAGCACGCTAATATTTGTCACGTGAAGCCTATGTCTTCATTTCACAACAAGCTGCGTTTTATCATTGCCGACCTATTTTTTCTCTTTAACCGCGATACATTTGGAAATGATTTATCATTTTCGGTCGCCATTTGGTCGGCAGACGAAAACAATTAACACCTGTACTGATGTCATGCTTTATAACAGATGTTCATTTCAAGCAATCAAATCCATCAATAATCGACATCACATGAATGGTTTGTTGGAAAATAATACACGCACGCGCATGGTCTATCACCCAATAACCTATGGTTATTAACCAATGAAAAATGTCGTTTATATGTGGTCGGACTACAACCATTTATATGTTATGACTACGTAGTTCGCAGGCTTGAGGCTGGATCTCGAGGTTAACATTGGTAGCACATTTG